TTGATCTTGGGTTGCCTATTTTTCCTATGAAATGTGTAGGACTTTGAAACTTAATCCCCCCTGAATTCTTTAAAAAAAACCTAACTCTTTTGAATCATTCAGTCTTTTCTGTGAAAATCACTAAAAGAAATTTCTCCATTAAAAAATCAAATTAGAGTAAATAAAATCCAAAAGTTTTGCGATTTTTATATCTCTTCTGGCGAAAAATAATGTTTGATAAACCTTTCATGAAATTAAATACAAGTTTGTATGGTAAACTTTGTAACAGATTGTTGGAGACTACATTTTGTAATTACAGAAGATATATAGATAGATAGATAGATAGATAGATAGATAGATAGATAGATAGATAGATAGATAGATAGATAGATAGATAGATAGATAGATAGATAGATACATAGATAGATATATTATATAGATAGATAAGTAGATAGATAGATAGATTGATAGATAGATAGATAGATAAATAGATAGATAAATCTTTAATGTTAATATTGGACAAATCAAAAATAGATATTTCATAATCTAGATAAAATTAAAATTATTAGGATCTATCATGATCTATAGATAAAGCTATAATAAAAATAGGATCCTGTGAGAGTTAATACAGTTTTTACAGTTTATTAGAGTAAGTTTCTTGATTAAGTCTGAGTATAGAAGGAGTTGTTTTTTGACAATTGATAAAATGCAATTTGTGTTTATGATTGTGTTCAGAAGAATATGTGAAAATTGTTGTCTTTCCACTTTTCTAGTGAACTTTTAATTAAACCCTGTATATGAGTTTAACAGTACATTGTCAGTTTTGCCAAAAGTGGAATACTGAAATAGTTTAACAAAATATGCCTTTAGCTCCATCTCTAAAAATGTCCATAGTTTACCATGAAAATACATTTTAACTTCCCTTATTGGGATAAATACAAAATCATTTGCATGAGAGTGTTAAAGGGAGTGTTCGCGAAAAATGAAAGGGGGTATAGGCTTTTGATCGCTACTGATCTCACTTTTATCTATAAGGAGAAAATTATTAAAAAACATTATACTGAAGAACGTAGCGTCCATGTACAAATTCAGGAAGTTGTATTGTAAAATAATCAATTTAATTTCAAACAAATCATTCAGATATTACAACCTAAAGTCATCGATTATTTTTTGACACATTTTTACATAGTTAATACCGCTAGGTATCTCTCCCGTGTGTATTCAATTCATTCAAAGCATCGAGAGCTCAGACATCTGGCGGCCAACTATTTCGACGTTTTAAGTGCATTGTATACAAAACGAATATCTAATATTAGCTATATACGAATACGTCTAAAAACAATCGATGACTGTAGGTTGTAATATCTGAATATATGATTTGTTTGAAGTTAAATTGATTTTTTACGATCTGAGTGTAAATTTCAACTTTCTTAATTTGCATGGACGCTACGCTCTTCAGTACAAGTCGTTTTTAACAATTTTTTCCTTATAGACGCAACAGATAGAAGTAAGATTAGAATTGATCAAGAACGATTTTTTTCCCCGTAAGCCCATATCCCCTTTTATTTTTCGCGAACACTCCCTTTAAGAAAAGAGGAGTGTAAGTTTGCCAGGATTATCCGATCAAGGGCCAAAATCTTTCTTTATCTTCTCTTGACGAATCCTTGAACTAAAATAAAATCTTATTCATATCTTTGCAAAACTTAATTAAAGAATTAAAGAATAGAACAAAAGTTTTTATCTGTTCAGGGGAGAATTCACTTCATTATTTATTCAATAAAGAATAGAAAAATTGTCCTTTGATTACATTTCTTGAAATGTACTTAAATTTTTTTGCCCTAAAATTCCATTTTTGATCATATCACCGTGAAAGGAATTGAGTCTTTGGAACAAAATCAAATATTTAAAACTCAATATCTTTAGATTTCGATGTTGTAAACCTTTGATATTTCAAACTAAGATTATTTGATCTAACAGAATTCATAGTTTGAAATATCTAAGGTCTGAAACATTTGGTTCCAAAGATATAGTAATTAGAAAATCAGAGTTTGTGGCAAAAACTCAATTCCTCTTCTGACTTTTAATAAATAGAAATTGAAAGGATTTTACTTAACATTTTTTATGCATAGGGTGAGCACTGGGCGGTTAGAAAGTCCGGCTTGTGAAAAAAAAATCTAAAATAACCCATAACTTTGTTTTGACTGAAGTCACTGAGCTATAAACTATGAAAAGCCCGTGAAAAATAGATGTAGAAATATGTGTCACACTTTAAGATATTTTTTTAGCACTCGAACTATAAAAGTTATCGATCTAATTTTTTTTCAAAGAGCTGGCCTTGAAAAATTGGGCTATGAATATGCATATCAACCCTATACCTATTCATTAAAATATTTTTCTAGAGGGGGGGGGGGCTTGGGACGCGCTCCTCCCCCTCTATACATAGATTCAGACTAATTTTACTTGATTAGTTAATTTATATCTTACTAGTAGAACTATTAGCTTTGTTTATTGCTGATTTGATTCCCTTCCACAGTTTTCTGGTTCTCACTTTAGTTTAATATCATGTTCTGATGTCTTCGAAATCGGCTATTTAAAATTACTGTTCAATGTTAATGGAATTAAGAAATTCCGATCAGATAGTTATCAAGTTTCTGCAGAATGGTCAGATTTTCAAATTTCAATCACTCTTAAAATATATTCTTCAGTTCACAAATCTGACTTTTCTAGAATTTTCCTGGGAAAAAATCCCCCCCCTCCGTTCCACCCTATGTAACCTTCTAAATACCGATGCTTTAAATTCCTACTTTTTCCTAGAATGTTTAAAACTGCACGTGTTCAATGTGGGTATCTAATCCTCAACTGTCACTTTTTATTTTGTTTTTCTCGTGTAATTCCTCAGGTTTGGACCTGGTCCAGAATGTCTGCACTTTTTTTATAAATTTGTACTGTGCTATTTTTTCAATTTAGTAAATCTGTCATCTAATAAAATATTTATAATGGAATCTATTTATATATTTCAAATTTTTAAAATTCATAAAATGCAACTTTTTAAACTTAAATTCTTATGTCTCAAACTGTAGAAACAATTAAAGGGCAAAAAGGGACCCCCCCCTCTCCTTCAAACTAATTATAGAATATTTGAGTTACCCTATATCTATGTGAGATATGTCTGATTCTCAACGCTCGGTAATTAATGATTAACGAGTTATCCATGCCACCTCTTTGAAGGAAATTTTCAAAGCTAAAAAATCAACGATGTCTTCAGAATTGTTGATCAGATTATCCGTTGCGAATAGAGCATTTACCCCTTTAAACTTGCAAAGTTTTACGTCTAGTCCCTTTAAGCTTTCTAATCTTGTAAAACTGATTCTCAAATTTCCACTTCATATTTTCATATTATGCATGTCAATCATACATTCATGCATTTCATAGATAGATAAATAGAAAGATAATTAGATAAATGGATAGATAAATAGATGGATAATTAGAAAACTGTATAGAAAATTAGATAGATAAATAGAAAGATAATTAGATAAACAGATGGATAATTAGAAAATTAGATAATTAATTAAATAAATCGAAAAATGATGAGATAAATAGATAGATAATTAGATAAATGAATAGATGATTAGATAAATAGATAAATAATTAGATAAATAAATATAAATAATTAGATAAATAAATATAAAATTAGATAATTAATTAAATAAATCGAAAAATGATGAGATAAATAGATAGATAATTAGATAAATGAATAGATGATTAGATAAATAGATAAATAATTAGATAAATAAATATAAATAATTAGATAAATAAATAGATGATTAGATGAATAGATAAATAATTAGATACACATATAGATAATTAGATAAATAGATTGAAATCAAAAGAAGGAATCCCATGACCAATTATGTAAGTAAAAAAAAATATTTCTTGGTAAATTGTTCGATAATTATCTCAGGATTGTTAAGCACGTTGAATTGTCGCCCAAGCCGAATCTTTTTTTATGCCCTGCCCCTAACGTTGCCAGTTTTTAAGTGGCTTGGATGGGAAACGAGGAGATTGTGACTCGGATGGCAAATTGATGTGGCTAGCCGTCCAGCCCTCGTTAATTTCAAGAGTACGAGTAGTGTTTGTGCACGAAGAATTTGATGAGCCAACAAACTGTTTTCCAATTGAGTAAGAACAGAATGCAGTTTCCTGTGGAATATTCTAGAAAAATATTGATAAGTCATGAAATCATGGATCCTAAATCACGCTGACAGTGCAATTAGTCAACATCTTTTCCCATCAGTGCACTAATCAAAGATGGTTCTCAACCGAGGGAGAACACTCGCTTATATCTTATAGTACAAAATATAGATATATAGATAGTACAAAATATACATTGGTGGATAGTACAAAATATACTAGGTGGAAAGTACAAAATATAGATAGATAGAGGATTAATTATGAAACACAGGCT